AATTATTTTAAGCTGTATTAGCTAAAATTAGTTTGACCGTGTGTGTGTGTGTGTGTGTGTGTGTGTGTGTGTGTGTGTGTGTGTGTGTGTGTGTGTTCCATATCCCCAGGATACGTTGGAGTTTTAAAGACTGGTGATCTGGAGAGTACCCAGAGATTTATTTGTTCCTAGACAACAACAGTGGTCCAGGCTGGTGAAGCTGAGGGTCTGATTGAGTGGGAACTTCAGCCCAATGGATGGGCTGCTTCCATTCAGAAGAGTTTGTGTTGAAGATTGTTATTGGAACTCAAAAGATGGAGGTTGTCTTTGTCTGGTTTCAGTTCTGGGGTGCTGCTGATGAACCTGAGCACCTCCAGAGGTAGCAAAGTGCTCTACCACAGAGCTACCTCCTCAACCACAAAACATGACGGGCAGGATCATAGCATAGTTTGAGTCACTTTAGAAAAAGGAAAAAAAAAAATCCTTCCTTGCAATAGACAAGATCCCACTTCTAAGTTAATGTTAGTGTGGAAATGGAAAGTCAATCTCCAAAGCTCAAGATTAGCAGATTCCTGGGAAGGATGAAGAGGCAGCGAGAGCCTGCTCTAGGGTGGAAACCTCATCTCCTTCAGCTTTCTGCTGGTCGACACTCTACTCCAGCAATGCTGGTTGGTATTGCTGTTGTGTGCAGAAAGAACCATGCTCTGTGAAAACTAAGTGGCCGCTGCTCCCTCCCTGTCATGAAAGACAAAAGAAAAGTACAACCTTGCACATGAATGACACATAAAGTTTTGTTTCTGAGCCCCCAACTCATCATGTAAGCCCCTTTCCCTCCTCTTTCTATACACAGCAGACTTTTTGTCTTTAACGTGGGAACTTTCCACATACCTGAGTTGCACAGTTGTCTGCCCAGCATAGTCCTTTCTCCCCACGCTATAGACAGCCCAGCAGTCAAATTATTTCTTTGGAGATAGCATGATTTGGTTGGGAATATGTCTGATCTATGTCCACACATCAATGTTTAATTCAAGTGTACTGCTCACTTGTTTATAATTTGTCTGTCTTGACTTAGTCCCCCCCTACCTTCAGACAGGCAACTCACTCAGCTCTGATCATTAATAACACCTTTAGCTCTGACTCCTGGTTAACTTAGTCTTTGGTGTTATTAGAGATGAGCTTCTCCTGGAAGGAATACTTAAGGGGAATGTAGTTTCAGTTTCTAGTCCCAGGTGGGTTGAAGGCAGGACAGCATCATTGAGAGAAACAGGAAGCTGAGATGACATATTTGTATAGTTCAGCTATTAAGTCAAGAGTAGTATAGAAAAGAGTGGTTCATTGAAAGTTACAAGAACAGATATACCAACACACCCTAAGTCAGGATGCAGAGGTGTGAGAAACACTATCAGTTGCCTGATTTTATTCTTCTGGGGTGGAGTGATTAACCTTTGCTGGGAGTTGGCTTTTGTATTCATGGATTATCTTTTCTCTCTCTGTCCTTCCATCCTTCCCTCCCTCCCTCTTCCCATGCAGCAGTTAGCAATCAGGAAACATGGATCTGTTTCTTCAAGTCTCCACTTTGGATAATCAAATAAACAAGAGCAAATTCCAATCGTCTTGGCTTGGTCGCAGCCATCTCTGCACCTGTATGTAACTCAGGGGAGGTTATTCATGTTGTTACTTCTGCCTCTCTGATCTCTGTCGAGTTGACCTGCTTATTATAACCCTTTTACCCAGGCAGTGAAGGTTCTTCCCCCACTCAGCCTCCCCTTCACCCCTTCACTGAGTGGCTTAAAAGATCTGTAACTGGGCTGAAGCAGCTGTTGGCTTCATGCCCTCCTCTAACTTGATTATTCTTTGGACACGTTAGGCAAGCATTAGTGATTGATAATGACGCTAATTAACCCCTTTCCTTTCCAAAGAGTAAACGGCTGCCAGCAGGATGCTGCAAACAATAAATATAAAACACTGCATACATCAATATCTGCTTAAAGCACAACTTCATTTGGGCACATGCAAACTGTACTGCTTTGCTTAACAGTTCCTATCCACACCCTTCTCAAAAAGCCCTAGGGTGGGAGGCAGGGGAAGAGCTAGAGTTAAGAAGGTAGCCTGTGGCTTTAAGACCATAAAATACTACATACATACCTGTCCAGCAGAAAAAAAAAAAAAAAACCCTAATAGAAACCATACAGGTCATTTTTTTTTTAATTTCAAGTCTATACTTTAAAAATGAAGTAATCCAACTTTGCTTTTAACCTATTTAATCTTAGAACAAAGCTAATGACCACATGACTTTTTTTTTTTTCTTCTTTATGAGGAAACTCTCCTGCCTTACATAGAATTATTGTGAACACCTTTTGGGTTGAAGGAAGTGGGAGACACTGTTTTTTAGAGTAGATAAAATTTGGATTTTAAGCAGGATTTGGAGGAATCCAGGTAAATTGGATTTGATCGTGCAGTCTAACATAACCTGAGTTGTAAAGAAACATACATTAAATTTGGAATTTTGATAAATGAATATTCCTAGCAAGTGAATAAAATGTATTCAATTAACTAAAACCCTGTGCACTTCTGAACTGAAGTGGAATGGACTGTAATTGATTTATTTGAAACCAGAGGTTAAGGACTGAATTAGCTAAGTACAACTGGGTATTTCAGCCACTGACTTCTCAAATGTCAAATCCCTTCTATTTTAAATATTATTTCAGCTGCGGGGCATTGCGGTCCTGATGGTAGTTCCATCAAGAACACAAATTGTATTAATATTCGATTTTGGGAAGGAGTGGTTTGAGTTGTGATTTTTAAAGGGTGTTGAAGTATTGAGGGGGTAACTCTGACTAGCCACCTAGAAAGAGCATTGTGTTTCCATGAAAATTGGGTGTGGTAATTAGCATAGCCTAGCCAGCATCTTTATGATTCAACTATGTATCCTGATCTGGTTTAATCCAAAGTGAATCTTTGTTGTTAGCATATGAAGACTCAAACCTGTCAAGCAATCCTCACATGTTTGGGAGGATTCAGTTACAACAGAAAAAGCTAAAAGTCACATAGCCCTTGGTTACTCAATTAAAAAAAATTTTTTGATCATCCCCTCCTGTATCCCATGCCACTTAAAGGTACACAACTCCTTTTACTTTTATTGTTTAAAAACAGTGGCAATACCATCATCCCAACTACAGAATAAAAATTACTGATTCACTGCATATAAAAACCATTGTTTATTTTTACATTGTCCTGTTCCAGACACCATTTCCTTTCTATCTTTCTTGGGATGCAAAGATTATATTGGGTTCCAACATAACAAGCATCTGTAAATCCAGATATGAATGAATGGTATTTAATAAGATTGTTTTCGTTTTAAAATGAGTATTTATGTGTCATTGGAGAAAGAGCAGCAATGTATGGCTGTTTATGAATGCTATTGTGCCTGAGGTTAGGATCCCCCACACAATCTGAGATGCAGCCAAGAAAAACAGTCCTGATAGACAATGCTTCACTTCACCTGCTACGACGCTGTGTGCATTTCATTTCTGTCAACAGTATGTACAGTTAGGGTTCATTCGCCTCATTATTTTGTTACATCTACGTTACAGTTAACCAGTCTCTCTAGGAAATAATAAATAACCGCTTTAAAAAAAACAATTGCCGCGTTGCGTTCTGAGAATACACTTTCCATTTGAATTTTTTTAACCCACCATTGTTATGAATTCTCTGGCTTTAGAAAATAGAATTTAGACTCCACCAACTCTCATTGGTTTGTGGAGATTGATTTTACACTGCCTTCCGTAAGGAGATTAGAAAGAAAAGGTTGCAAAATGGACACAGGGGAAAGACCTTTGCCTTCCTAGTCTTTGGCATGCCAAAGCACAGGAACACAAGTCATTTCTTCTCAGCATGACCATCTACACAGCTTCCCTCTCAGCCTTCCACTTAGCCAACCTCCGTATCTGTTAAAAATATTTTTTTAAAGAAAACCGTAAGTTAAGCAAAAATGAAAAGCCACCTCACTTCCAAGGCAAAGAAATTACGAATTCCATTTACAAAAGCTCTGAATTCGCCATCTTCCTGTGCAAGAAGGTCCTTCCTTCCCCCAGAGCAGGCTCACAGTCCTGTTATTGTGGAAGACAGATAGGAAAGCTTGGCAGGAGCAAACCTCCCCCACTCCCTCTATCCTACTTCTGAGGCGTTTTTGTGTTTCTAAAAGGTCCAAGGAGGAACCAGTGGAGATAGAAAGGGGAGTGCCTGCTTTTGGGGTGGGGGAATCAGAGATTGTAAGGATCCACCTACTTTCCCACTCCCCTCTACTGGTTCCAGGAGTGAATTCATCTCCAAATGAAATATTAAAGCAAATGGGGACAATTGGCCTCTCTTTCTGTGTTCCACGTATATTTCTGCCACCTTTTCTCCTACCAGAAAAACAGGGTTGGCCTAAGCCATAAAAGCCTAAGCAAACAAATGAGGACTGAAATGGCCATCTCCTTTGTATTAATGAACTAATCATTTCCATTGCAGTTTTCTTCTGACATGGATTGGAATGCAGTGAGCAGGAGAGCATCTTCGTTCTTCCTCTAGCCATCAGCTTTGTCATTCCTAATGTTTAGTTCTGAGGGTTTAAATATCGTAGCTTCCAAAATGCAAATGAAAACCTATAGGATCAACATAAATAAAATAAAACTTTATTTTTAATAATAAAGTTAATGCTCCCAGTCAGGAAGCAATAGTATGTCATTCCTTTAGCAGTACAAACAATCTTTTATCCAAAAGAATACATTGGGTTTTATTGTGTCATTTGTCTGAATACAGACTCAGTGGAATATCTAAATGATACCCTGCTCTGAACTCCAAGTTGAAAGTAAGTTTTTATTATACTTGAGGGAAACAATGGGTTCAGCTGCTTATTGCAAAGAGCAATTGCCAAGGGAGAGTTAAACTCAATTACTGTAACCATACTGAATAAAAAATACTGCCAAGAACAAAAATACGCCTGGGTAAAGACAGCCACTGAATAAAAAAAATCGACATAAAGCGTATCAAATATTTATTTATCTGGGCAACAAAGGACTATGATACATTGACAGGCAGGGAGACTACTGCCAGCGCAACTCAACACAGTACATCTAGAACTGCTTCCAATGTGGCCGGTGAAGACACACAATACCAGGTGGTCCCAAATGCTTGAAGTTGAACAAAAAAGAGAGGGGAGAGAGAGGGGGGGAGAGAGGGAAGAGAGAGAGAGAGAGACAGAGAGACAGAGAGATTGGGAGAGAGAGAGAGAGAGAGAGAAAGAGAGAAAGAGAGAGAGGACAGAGAAATCCCTAACCCTTGGTTTAAAGACAATATTCATTTATTGCTCAGAGGACGCTTTTAAGGGAGAACAGTGAACTCAAATAAACTTTATTTTTTCTCCCCACAATACCATAGGAGAGTTATCAAACCGCTCCATTAAAAAAAAATCTTTCCAGTGTCCCAATATCACTGTTTCCTTTCCATTCAATGAAAAGCTAAATGTAATACTAATTATATATAAAATTTTATTTTACTTTAAAAAAGTTTTGTTCAGCTGTTTCATTATCATCATTAACATGCTACCAAGGGGCTAAATTCGTGAATTCCAGAAGGGGAGAGGAAATCACCCAAACCCTGGATTTCTAAGTAAGTAAAACCACATGAAGAACTAATAGGGAGGATCCAAAAGCCACTGAACAGGAGGTAAATGAGATCACCAGATAAATAAAAAAAAAAAAGGTTTAAAACAGACTCACCATATTTACAAATCCCATTAAATTACACATAAATAAATATATACAGAGACGTGAACACTGATTCCCTTATAGAAGTGTGGATTGTGTCATCAGAGCAAGTTCAAGTGGGCACCTTGCAGAGACAACTTCTACAACTGAAGACAGGACATAGAACTTCTGTATTTGTGTTCAAGTTTATTCACAATACTGATAAAAATGTCATTATCCTCTTTGCCTTTTTTTTTTTTTTAAAGTATGGCTACAATCTGAAGTATGCAAGGGAAGGCGATGAGTTAGTCCCATGAAGCTCGTATACTTTTTTAAAATTTTTTTAACGTTCTTTTTGTTTTTTAGAAAAAAAAAGTTTTAATGTTTGTTGTTGATTTGATTTAAAAAAAAAAAAAAAGGTTCACAAACGCGACAGAACTTTTCTTTGCTGGCTTCACGACCTGTTCTGTTCTTTTAGGCTCCACAAGAGGGCAAGGGGGGTGTTGGTGCTGATGGGGAAGTTGAGGCAGGGCGCTGAGTAGGC